GATAGCAAAGTATAAAATAACAAAGAAGTGGAGTGTTTGGTGGAAGGGTCATCTCATTTCACTAAGAAAGTTTTTCATTTTATAGTTTCCATAAAATAAGGACATTTTATTCACATTGGCTCTTCTTGGATCATAGTTTCATTTGTAATACTTACACATCAATTGTATCCCCTGTTGATTCCATGCTGTTTCCTGATACAGTTTTGACCTGGATGCCAAGTGGATTGGTGCAGATTTCTCCTGGTTTTTCTTTGCGCAATTCTGTGAGTGTCTCCCAGTCTCCAGTACCACCGGGGTCATCCCGATCAAACCATTTTGACCAGCAATTTGAACCTGTAATCCACAAGTACAACAATTTTGTCATGATAGGAATTCCATAATTTTAGAGCAGTTTTTCCCATTTGTGGAATGTCCTTGTTGTCATTCTGGATCGTTCTCTAGTCATTTTTTATCAAAATCATTGTTTCTTAATGTAACCAAAAAATATAGTTTTTCATACTAGTTACTGATGACCTGTAATTTTATAACCCAGTACTATCTTTAAGGTATTTATAGGAGAAATCAAGAAGGACAAAACACTCACTTGGTTGAGAGCAGAAACTCTCAGGGCACTGGAAACGAACAGTATAGTCTTGGCAGATGCCACCATCTTGATCCGCATTCTCACACATGAATCCACTTGTTGTATCAGCTCTGATAAAGAACCATTATTCATTGTACAATTTGAGAATGATTTTATTATTTTGTACAATTTTAAAAAATGCACTCAAGTGACTATGGTTTAAAATGTGTAACTATTTAAAAACATTACCTTTTTGACTTGTAAAGTTTTTAATTGATTTGTTCTTTAATTCTTTATTGTATTAGAAGATTATATTGTGTGTTCCATTGAGCTAAGGTTTGTAAAGTTCAAGAAATAGAAAATACTTTTATGTTTCCCAGAAGTCTGATAGTTATTTATCCATTTATAATTTTCCTTTTTTAACATTTTTAAAGAAGAGATTGATCCTGTGGTAACATGCTATTGAAAGATAATAGTCATATTATACACTGTTTCCCCAACAGTGCATTTTAACTTCTTACTTTTAGATGAAAAATGACCAAGAGAAATTAATTTTAAAGCACACAAGCCAAGAAATTTAATGGTCTACTGACTTACTGTTAATATTTATTGTATGTAAATCACATTTTCACCAAATCAAAAAATACTACTGTACTTACACCTCAATTTTCTCCCCTGTTGTCTCCATACTGTCCCCAGATGTTGTTTTGACCTGAATATGAAGTGGACTGTCACAGATTTGACCAGGGTGTTCTCTGCGAAGGTCTGCAAGCATCTCTGAGTCTCCATTTCCAGAGGGGTCATCTCGATCAAACCAACGTGTCCAGCATTTTGAATCTTTTCACATTTTGTTGGGATAAAAATATGTTAAGTCTGTATGATTGTCTTATGTAACCTTTACACAGTGTTTGTATGCAAATTATTTTTAAAAAATTGATTTATTTAAATGTAGAGCGTTAGCAATGTGAACATGGAAAAAGGAACTGAAAGGTTGTGTACAAGCTGACAACCAAAAATGAAATACAGACAATTAAAAGACAGATGATCTGCTAAAGTAGAACAATAAAACGTGTAGATTTTCTTGTATAATTTTGTAAGTAAAGATTTTCTGTACCATTTAAATATAAAATTCAATTAGGTCCAAAAACACCCACCTCTGTCGTTACAGAAACTGTCGGGGCACTGGAAACGAACAGTATAGTCCTGGCAGATGCCACTTGTCTGATCAGAGTTCTTACACACAAATCCAGTGGTTTTATCAGCTCTGCAGAGGACAACATTTGTCACTGAATATAGCTAACAATGGATGATATTTGTTGGTGTTGGAAACTGATAATTAGTGTTTGGTGGAAGGGTCATCTCATTTCTTTTTATTAAGATGGGATTCCTTTAGTATTAATGTATTTTGAGAAAATGTTTATTCACATTGGCTCTTCTTGGATCATAGTTTCATTTGTAATACTTACACATCAATTGTATCCCCTGTTGATTCCATACTGTTTCCTGATACAGTTTTGACTTGAATGCTAAGTGGATTGGTGCAGATTTCTCCTGGTTTTTCTTTGCACAATTCTGTGAGTGTCTCCCAGTCTCCAGTACCACCGGGGTCATCCCGATCAAACCATTTTGACCAGCAATTTGAACCTGTAATCCACAAGTACAGCATGTTTAAACCTCTGTTCAAGACAGGAAGTACAGCGTTTCAGAGTACCTTTGGCTTTTCACACATTTGTAGAGCATTTTTACTACGGTAATTCTACTACTTTCTTGTAAAATATATTCTATTTTAGCTTTAGCATTGCTGCTAACTGCGGTAGGTGTTTTGGTTTTAGAATTGCTCTAATTCTTGACAACATGACTTCAATTACTATTGACAGATGTAAACATAGAGAAACACTCACTAGCGGTAGTACAGAAACTGTTGGGGCACTGGAAACGAACAGTATAGTCTTGGCACTTTCCACTGTCTTGATCTGCATTCTCACACGCAAATCCACTAGTGGCATCAGCTCTGCAAAAGAAATATTCATTGATGATGTAATGTAATGTCCTTTTTATTATTGTACACGTTTTGTGTTTTTTTCAAATGAATAAGGTTCTGAATTGATTTGTACTCTAATTGTTTATTTTATTGGAAAAATATGGTGACAGTCCAGTGAGCAATCGGTAGGGGAAAAAAATTAGGAAATTATTCACTTTTTCCCAGAAGTCTTTTAGTCATATGTCAGGTCTTACCTTTGGCCTTTCAAAAGTTTAAAAGAAGATACTGATTTTGTCATAACATGTTAATGGGAGATGATAGCCATAGTAAACAAATGTTTTTTTCCACAATGCACTTTAATTTCTACTCCAAGACTAGAACTACCAAGATAAATAAATCTTAAAATAATTAAGCGAAGAAATTAAAGGGTGGTCTTCTGACTTCTACAATATGTATTTTCTAAATGTTACACACTTTATGTCCAATTCAAAAAGAAATCTCCAGTACTTACACATCAATTCTGTCCCCTGTTGACTCCATACTGTCTCCAGAAGTTGTTTTGACCTGAATTTGAAGTGGACTGTCACAGATTTGACCAGGGTGTTCTCTGCGAAGGTCTGCAAGCATCTCTGAGTCTCCATTTCCAGAGGGGTCATCTCGATCAAACCAATGTGTCCAGCAATTTGGACCTTCAATAGCAGGTTGGGATGAAAACCATTTTCAAAAATATTATTACCAATTAAATATAATCAAATACATAATCTCTCAAAACTGCACATAAATGGGTTTTTAGATATGTTAGATATG